TTCGAAATAGAAATGCTGAAAATAAATGTTTCGAAATATAAATCTATGTTAAACTACTCTTAAGATAAGGAAAATGATAAGAAATATTGAAATCAATTATTTTTGATTTGAATTCTGAATCTTTTACAATATAGTCATGAATGGCTATTTATAAACAAATATTTATAGGAAAAAACTTCCAGCAATAGCTATCCAATAACTACTTAAAACTACCCACTCTTCCATGTTCATTCCCATAATGTCACATAATCTTTCATATTTTCATAACTTCTCATAATCTCTAAATACGTAGAAAGATGTCACATATACTGCAATTATATAAATAATAAATAATAATAAAAATTACAAAATTTATGATGCTACCAGAAACAATTATTTCAACTCATTGAGTTACTTAACGCTTTTTCCATCAAGGTAAGCAAACTCTATTAGTTACATGAAAATTCATATGATATCATGACATGTGTCAATGACATATGGTACAGATGGATCGCGACCATTAATCTTGCAACACGTGGCAACTTTGTTTTGGCTTGTGCATATGATGCAATGCCCTAAACCTTTTGCTGACTACAAATTCCACATGAAAATCACAATCATGGTAAAGGAAGTCCTAAGCTAAGGGTTCACTTTAATACTCATTTAAAGCCTACAACCACTTGAACACGTAGCCTACTATAACTACTTTGATAAAGAGTTGTGTTAGTTTGTTGCAAGTCTTTATGCTTTTACAAGTTCCCTCTTTTAGGTGTGGAGATGGGGACTAAAGTGAATCTATAGTGGGAAGGAATCCTCAAAAACCAAAAAGCAAGTGCCCTTGTATCATTGTTAGTTAAAAGAAGGGTAATGAATTATAGGGGATAGACTCGAAACATAGGTATAGGCACTTATTAGTTCAGTAGTTAAGGCCTATAATTTTAAAGTCGTGAGTTGAAATTTGAAAATAATTACTCTGTAGATAATATATCAAAGATTAAGGTTTCGTTAGCTAATTTTTAATTTTAATTAAAAAATTAAAAATTATTATAAGCTATCACATTATTTTTTTATTTTTTTACACATTTTTTTTATAAAAAATAAAAAAATTATTAAAATAATTTATTCTCAAACGAAACCTAAGTTTATGTCAAATTTATTCTTCTTAAATTCTATTTAATGGCGATTAAATTGAATGGATGTCGGTCTTTTTTGTTTGTTTAAACTCAAAATTTATATATGAAATTCAATTGAAATCTTACTAACAAGTGTCTCTAATTATAAGAAAATAATGAACAGCAAACAATTTTAACAAAGTAAAAAACCCTTTTCATCATTTTCAACGTATTTCTTAACATTTACACTTAATTTCAAGATACTTTTCGACCATCCTAATTTTGATGCAAACCAATGCCCGGGACACTAGTTATAGCATAAGCAAACTTTAAAAAAAATAAAAGAAAATGATAGCAGGACCTTCTTGTCTTATAATATATACTTATTGGTTGGCTCTTGGTTTATGCCTTTTATTTTTCCTTTGCATGGGTGGTCAAGACTCTCCGTTCTAAATTTCTCTGTTTTTTTATTTTATTTTAAAACACTCACAATCATTAAATTATAAAAAAATTCAAGATGTAATAATCTCAAAATATGATTTAATAAATATAAATATTTTAAAACAAAAAGATATAAAAAAAAATTAAATAATATAGAGAATCATGGTTGACCCTCTTCTACATTAGCCTTGCCAAGATCCCTTTTCCCAAAACAATCTACAATGGCGCAACAAGAAGCAATCGATGGAATTGGAGCACTGGTTCTTGAGTGGATTGGCCATTAGCAATGGAAGGTATATGGAGCCCCTTAAGAAATAAAAGCTAAGCATCCCATATTCTTGACAAATTTTTGTATGTCACTATCTTTCGTTAATTATAAATATATATATGTCTTTTATTATTTTCTAAACACTCCATATAAATATAGTAGATTATATTATCAAAGCCAATCATAATAATAAAAAATATCACATGGCATATATCTTATCAGTATATAAATATTACTCCATATTCCTATTACATATTTTGCACACAAGTATGATGATCTAAATATGTACACTTTTTGTCTTTTTACGAAAAGATGTGCAAAAAAATAGAGAGGTGATGTGATGAAAAAAAGATAAAAAGATAGATTATATAGGGGATGCCAAACTTGGCCTAAGTTCAATATATATATATATTGTTTGTTTTTGTTTGGTTGGCATTTTTGGACAAAATGATTAGATAGTGTTTTATTTAAATGAATGTAGAATGGAGGGTAATTATCATTTCTTAATTTTATTATGAAAGATGAACGATAATTTTATTTGTAATATATTTTTGTTATCCTATTTTAGTAAACTAAAAATTTAAATAAATATTTTGTGAAATAATTATTTATTCCACTTTATTTCAATAAATCAAAACCTTAAAGAATTTGAGCCTGACATAAAAGGAGAATTCGACTTATAAAACCAATTGCAACACCAAGAAAAAAATGGGATAAAATTATACTCGATGTCCTTATAGTTTACTTCTTATGTTAGTTTAGTCTTCATAATTTTAATTGCGTTAATTTTATCCTTGAATTTTTCAATTTGTGACAATTTCTCCAATTGATAATGCTTTTTTAAAAATTAAACTAAAATCAATGGCCCAAAAATATTTATCAACTCTTCTCAAAGGGATTAAAGAGCTAGTTTCCCATTTGAAATGGTTAATTTTCTTTTGAATGAATCATTTTACTAATAATACTTATCTAATTTCTTAACAAATATCAAATTTGGTATCCAACCTAGATTCGATTCTTTAAACTCTACTAACTTCTAATGAGCCAAACTTAAACATTCTAAACTCTGGCTTGACATGATTTGTTCGTAACCCTAATAATAATATTAGTATAATTTATAAAAATGTAAAAAAAATCCCCCCCGACCTGAGTCCCAATGCCAACTTGGGACCTTCAACCAGCTTGAGGTTGTGAGTCACTTGTGTAGTTGTGAAATGTCTTTCCACTAGATAGTTCATGATATCATGGTCAATGATCACAATCATCAAGTCTCATTTTGCTTTTTTAGTTAGATCACTCTCCAAAGATATATAAACTAAAGTAACAACTACTTAGGCTATCTTCAATGGTTTATTAAATTTATCATTAAAATTAAATTTGATATAAAAGAATTACTTTTTATTTTTTGACGGTTCCTCAAATTTATCATTAGATTTAATATTTCACTTTTTTTTTTAAACAAATGGAGAACTAATGTCTTTTTATCAAATAATTGTTCATTGGCGTTGGATTTTCACTACTGAATGTCCCCTAGATGACCATCTCAAGGCAAAAAATTATAAAAAAATTATACTAGCTGGTCGACCGGCTGGTCGTCCGTCCACTCGACCGATAGTTTGATAAAACTATAAATCCCTTTGTTAAAGCACTTAATATAAAAAAAAAAAACTTTTACATAAATTTGATTTAAAAAAAAAATTGGTAATGCTAGGACCCCCAGTGGGGGTGACCCCCAACACCCCCACCTCCACGTGGGGGCTGTCAATAAAAGAAAATAAATAAATAAATAATAATTATGGACCAATCAAAAATCAGTGGGGTGGTGGGTTGGAGTCTTATGCATTTTCCAAAAAAAAATTGATGTAGCCTTAGAGATGCCCTTATTGCAGAGATAATGCTACCATATCTAATGCACCGGAGATACTTGGATTTCACATCTTTTATTTATTTATTTATATTTTTACGACTATTATTATTATTATTTTTTCTTTTGGAGCTAGAGGTAGGGCTATCTATAAGTATACTGTATACAAGGTCTTCCATTACAGTGGTTGCATATGCACCATCATGATGAAGAATTAAGCAGCGAAAAATGCCTAACACCCCCAGTGGGGGTCACTGGGGGTCACCCCTGATAGGCTGAAATTTTTTTTTTTTTTTTTTTTTTGAGCCATTTGAAATGGCGTTTCTACTACCAACCAAAGCCAACCCACACAATGACACACACACCAATGGCCACACCCACAACACTCAAGCATTGAAATAATATAATTTTTATATATAATAATAATTTATAATAATTAATTATATAATTTTTATAATTTTCGTAAATATAAATCATTTTTCACTTGAAACAATTGCTTTCATCATGCCACAGTGAGTTATCCGAACGTCCTGCAGTTTCCTTAGATCTCTAGCTATGGAAAGTGAGAACGTAGTTTGTAGTTTATGACACCAGAACACATCTACAGACGTCAGGTTGCCGAGCCATACAAGTTGGGTGGGACCCTTCCACATATTTGTCAATTCAGGCAAGAAATATAGTACCAACTCTTTCAATGCACGGAAAGCCGTGTTCAAGCATAAAAAAAATTCTTTGAAATCCAACACATATGAATTCCTTGAAAAGTCCCAACACATATGATTATTGTCCCTCATAATAACACTTTAATGCATTAAGAACAAGCATAAAAAAAATTTCTTGAAAAATCTAAGACATATGATTATTATCAAAATATTAAACTTTAATATAATATAATAAAAAAAAAGACATTTAATTCATTGAAAAGTTTAACACATATGATTATCATCAAAATAATAAACTTTAATATAATATAAAAAATGAAAAACAGAAGACATTTAAAATAAATTAAAAAAGAAGACATTTAAAAATCACAATTCACATATATAGATAATTGTAAATACAATCCGTGCATAGCACGGGTGATATGCTAGTATTTATAATAGTGATATTGTCATATTATGCTTTCGTTTGTGATGTAGGTTGTCTTTTTAACTTTTTTTAGTTTGGAGTTAAAAAGTCTCGTTTTGAATGAATTTTTTGATTTTTCTAACTTTTGTAAAAAAAAAAAATTAAATAATTATAATTTGAATGTAATATTTTATCTTATTAATTTTTTAACTTATTTTACCTTTTTGTACTTAAAAAAAACCAAAAATAAAAAATAAAAAAATCCAGGCCAAACCTAGCCTATTTGTGAAAAGTAAAATTAACTCCATGTGAAGGCAGATGAACCAGCATAAACTAATATATAAAGAGAAACCCCTAAATTGTTCTTTCAAAAGGAGTTATTTCTCTCTCTTGAATTCGTTCCTGCGGTGCTTCACGCTTCTTCACCACCCTCTTGTTTGTTTGCTGATTTGAGGCCATTTAATCAGGTACCAACACGTTTATCTCACAAACTATGTTCCTTCAAATCAAGGTCTCTATAAAGAGTAGACTTCTAAACCATGTCTTCAATCTCACTCAATGCTTTGTGAACCAACCGAGCACGTTGTTTCTGATCTTTGAAGCTTTCTTTTTTGACCCAAAATTGGTAAAACTCTCGTGATATAAACCCCCATTATCACTCTCAACCCACCAACTAAGATATGATTGCTTTGTTTTATTTGAAAAATTCGATTTTTGGCATTTTCTGTGACTTGGGTTTTGCTTATGAGCTTCGGTTGGTTTGCTTGATTTATTTGAAAATTCGATTTTTGGGCATTTGCTGTGACTTGGGTTTTGTTAAAAACCCATTTTTGAGTAATGGGTTTTGTTGATTGTTTTTGCAAGATTGTTTTGGATTATTAAAAGAAAGTCATTTATTTGGTGTGCTATTATATGTGTTGTTTGTTAAACTGACGTTTTATGAACTTTAATGAAAGGGTTACTGTTTTTTAAGACTGATTTTAATAAGTTGTTTTTCATTTTTTAATAATGAAAAGGTTGTTCAGTTACCGTGGTTGTTACTGATTTTGGCACTTTGCTTAGTTTGGGAGAGTCCATGGGCGTAAATCTTATTTGGGTTTTGGGTATTTATTATTTAAGGTTTTGCTGAGGTGAAGAGATCATATTCATTGTGTGGTGTGCAGTTTTCAAGTGAAAAGATAAGCATTAAGGTAATTATGGTCTAAACTTCAATTTGGAATAAACTCTTATGTGACTTACTTACATGATTTCAGTTTGTTTGATTGTGATTGGTTCTTTTGTTTTAAAAAATGTTGTGCTAAGTTTCTATGAATATGTGAGACTTGCATCTGATAATTTACCTCTGTTGATTGCTTTTGGTGGTTTGTACACCTGAATTAATGTGTGTATAACATTCCAGATTGTAGTAATCTAAGATCTCTAATTCTATTGATCAGTTATCATTTTTCACGTCTTGCACTCCAGGTTTGTTTGGATTTTGGATTTGTATAGAGTTTTGTGGAGGGAAAGGGAAAGGGAAAGGTGACAAAAAAACTGAACAAATTCTGCCCAAATCCAAGATCAAACATCCCTTAGTTGCATGCCTGGTTTGCTTTTGGTTTCACAAGGTTTATGGGAGTTATAAATTAAGCAAATCTTTTATGGAGGAAAAGGAAAACAAAATGTTAGCAAGTTTTCGTAGTTCTTCAAACCTCTTCTTCTTTTATCTGTTCACTGATTATAACAAATTATATGTTCTTTGGATTGTTTTGACCCAAGACCAATGATCAACCAATTATATGTTCTTTGGATTGTTTTGAGCCAATACCAACTTATGACAAATTACAAGTTACAGAGCTTTTTCACCTCTTTGCGTTTGTGTTCATATTCTAATTTGCTTCTGTTTTGTTCTTAAGGAAATATCAGGGAGGCCTTGTTTCATCTTCAGTAACTCGGTTGAATGACACTAGTCATGAGATAGTAATAATGACTATGTCCAAACTTTAAATTAGACAGAAATGGGAATAACCATGGTGCTCCACATGTTTCTGTTGATTTTAGACACCTAAATTACAGAGATTATGGAAAGATATTGTGATAAGATTTGATGTTGCAAACCAATAATTAAAATATATATATATATATATTTCTGCAGCCATTTGATCCAATGTAAATTTTAAATGCAAATCTTCATAACAATTTAACCTAGGTAGTTTTGTTGGATACCTTTCCATGTTTTTGTAAACATCTTCCATCTTTGAAACGTTTAGATTCTTAATTTTAAAATTTTTACTGGCTGACTGTATTTACACATCTATACTATATATTAAGCAAAAGGGGATTTTTAACCCCAAGCCTTGTGGGAGCTCCAATCTCTTAATCTAAATTTCTTGATTTTTTGATTTAAAAAAATAAAAAAACCTTAGCATTTATTAACTTCTCCCAACCCTCAAGTCTTACCCTCATATTAACTTCGCTCTATTTCTCTCTCTCTGTCTATCTCTCGCTCATATCTTGTTTCTCTCTATTTTTCTATATGTCTCTCTCTGTCTCCCTGTCTCTCTCTCTCTCTCTATATATCTCTTTCTCTCTTTGTCTCTCTCTCACTTATCACTCTTCTCTATCTCTTTCTCTCTTTGTGTCTATCTCTCGCTCTTCTCTCTCTCTCTCTTTCTCTCTATGTGTCTGTCTGTCTATTTGTCTCTCTTCCACATTGTGTTCACCTTGCTCACTCTCTACCACCACTATTCTATCTCCTCTACCACTACCACTACCACAACTTCACCACTTATCTCTTTCACCATCACTTAACAAAAAAAAATGGGTCGTAAAAAAATATTTTTCATTGGCCACAAAAAATTAACTTTATTTTAATGGAAAATATTATCCCTACTTCTACCAAATAAAAAAATAATAATAATTTTGTATTCATTAAAATAAATATGAAACAAATAAATTTTCAACCTTACTAAATGAAAAAACAAAAACAAAAATTCATTAACTATAAAAAAATTATTTTAATAAAAAATAATTTTTTTATAGCAATGACATTCTCCGTTGCAAAAAAAAAAGAGTCGTTTTATTATTTAAATATTCATTTGTAATGAAAATTAGAAAAAAAAAATCAAAAAAATTTCCATTCTCCCCCCTTCCTTTTCCATTCCCGCTCAGGTTCCCCCCACCCCAAACCCAAAATCCCCAATCTCAAAAATCCCTAATCTCTTATATCCGGACATGCTTATCGATTTGTAATCTTGTATGTAGATTTTGTAATATTGTCGAACTTTAGAGCTTTATATATATATCTTAAGCTGTAAAACATTGTGAATGTTTTGGTTAATGGAAATATTTTGGAACTTGTCTCGAAATGGAAGTTTAATGGAACATTGTATATGTTGAATATATTGAAAATCCTTGAAATTGAAAGAAAATTGCATAGTGTTAACGCAGGTTGAAATATATGTTTGTTTTGCATATTGGGGCATGCCTCTTAGTTAAGAGATGGAATGGCCGATGTTGGGTCAAGTGGTTTATTATTGAGTTAACATATTGTTGGAATTTGAGAAAACTTGCTTTTAAAACCTTGTGCTTAATTTCGGGGACGAAATTCTTTTAAGGGGGGGAGGTTATAGCGACCCCGGTCTTTTCTCTTTAGATTATTGTATCCGGACTTAGGCTCCGTAGATCCTGTCATTATTTATTGGTTGCTACTACCATCGCCACCACTCCACTACCACCACTACCACTATTGCTATAGCGACCCCGGTCTTTTCTCTTTAGATTATTGTATCCGGACTTAGGCTCCGTAGATCCTGTCATTATTTATTGGTCGTTGTTATCCTTTAATCTCTTTGTATTTGAAGTATAGTTGTGTTGGGACGGGTCTGGTACAGGTTGGTTGAATTTTGATGCCAATAGGTGATGCCCAGATTTTGGCCTTCACGCTCGAGCGGAGGTTTTAACGCTCGAGCGGGCCCTTCACTACTACCATCGCCACCACTCCACTACCACCACTACCACTATTGCCACTACTACTACTACCATTACCTGTCTTTCACCACCGCCACTCCATCTACTCTAGCACTACCATAACTTCACCACTAATCTCCTTCGCCATCACCACCACCACCATCGTCTCTTATCCACCACCTTCACCACTACTGCCGCTTTCTCTCCTCTACCACAAAATATTACCTCTCTTCTCTCTCTCACTCATCACTCTTGTCTCTCTCTCTCTTTCTCTCTCTGTGTCTGTTTGTCTGTCTCTCGCTCTTCTCTCTCTCTCTCTTTCTCTTTATGTGTCTGTCTGTCTGCTTGTCTCTCTTCCCCATTGTGTTCACCATGCTCACTCTCTCCCTCATCTCTTCTCTATTTATCGAGCTCTCCACTACAAGAAAATGCACTTTCGATCATCTCTTTTCGCTCTATTTCTCTCTCTCTCTGTCTATCTCTCGCTCATATCTTGTTTCTCTCTATTTTTCTATATGTCTCTCTCTCTATCTCTTTCTCTCTCTGTCTCCTTGTCTCCCTCTCTCTATATATATATCTCTTTCTCTCTTTGTCTCTCTCTCACTTATCACTCTTCTCTATCTCTTTCTCTCTCTGTGTCTGTCTCTCGCTCTTCTCTCTCTCTCTCTTTCTCTCTATGTGTCTGTCTGTCTATTTGTCTCTCTCCCCCATTGTGTTCACCTTGCTCACTCTCTACCACCACTATTTTATCTCCTCTACCACTACCACAACTTCACCACTTATCTCTTTCACCATCACTTAACAAAAAAAAAATGAGTCGTAAAAAAATATTTTTCATTGGCCACAAAAAATTAACTTTATTTTAATGGAAACTATTATCCCTACTTCTACCAAATAAAATAATAATAATAATTTTGTATTCATTAAAATAAATATGAAACAAATAAATTTTCAATCTTACTAAATGAAAAAATAAAAACAAAAATTCATTAACTATAAAAAAATTATTTTAATAAAAAATAATTTTTTTTAGCAATGACATCCTCCGTTGCGAAAAAAAAAAAATCCTTTTATTATTTAAATATTCATTTGTAATGAAAATTAGAAAAAAAAAATCAAAAAGAAAAAATTTCATAAAAAAATCAAAAAGAAAAAAATTCATTTTTTTTCCCTCTTTCAAATCTAACCGTCCATCTCTCACTCACCATCTCACTCACCTATAACAAACAAAACAAAAGAAAAAAAAAAACCCTAATCTAATCGGCTCCCTCACTCTCTCAGTCTCATCTCAACATCATTGTCTCTCTTTCTCACTCTCGTTTCTGCACACCGATCGGCGATCACTCTCTTTCTCATCTCATCGCACCGATCATCATCGCACAGCCGATCTACTTCACAGGTGAACTCTCTCTCTCAATCTCTGTCTCTCTCTCTCCCGATCGTTGATTTTTTTTTTGGATTTATATGTATATATAATATATCAGATATATATCTCTCTGATCTGATGTATGGGAGGAACGAACTCTCCACCTCCTTTACAACTCCAAGAGATCTCTCTCTCTCTCTCTCTCTCTCTCAATTCTTATTGATTCATTACCATGACGTTTTCTTTGATTATCACAGATTTTTCAATTGCTAAAGTTCAAAAAAGTGGACCAAAGAAGCACAAAGTGCGCTGGATGTCGAAGAGAGCTATGGCAATTCCTCAAGACATCATCGAACTTCAAGACCAAGCCCTAAGAGAATGTACTCTCCAATGTCTCAGTACTTTCCTTCTTGAGGTCCATTCTAATCTCAAAAGCTTCATGTGTAATTTTCTATTCTATGATTAATTTATTTCTTTCTTGGGTTTCTTGTTAATCAACCTATCAGTTTGGATTCTTTTCTTATTATTGGTTTCTTTCTGAAATTAGGCATGTTATGTATTGATTAATTTTCCTCAAATATGTATTTCTTTGCTAAATTTCAGTGGATTGGGTTTCATTTCATAGATGTTAGTGTCTTTTCTGTGTGATATACCATTAACTATTTAAACTTAAAAGATCAGGTTTTACTCTTATTATGGTTTGCTCAATTGGGTGCTTGCTGTTAGCATTAATTTGTTTATTTAACTTAATTCTAATTTTTATTTCCATGTTTGTTGACTATCACCTGAATGGGCTTCAGAAATTTTCTAGTTACCAAGTCTACCACAATGACCCAGCATAAAGACTATATGATATTTCATTTTTGCTCTCAAAATGTCACTTGATTTTGTCACGCTAATTTGATTTTGATTAGACAAATGGGATTGCTTAGCTGATTTATGAGTTGCAACGGGGCTCACTTTAAAAACTATGTAAGATGCAAACTGCAATTATAAAGGCATTGTGGTCATCTCAGTCTTTGTGCTTTTTATTTTTGTCGTATTTTTTTCCACTCTTAATAAAAGTTAGGTTTTTATAAATATAAATATTTTTTTATCATGTTATTGTTTGTTGAAACATATTGATATTCATGCTTAAACTATGGTTTTTATGTGTTTTCTTGTTCTCCAGGTTGAGGATGCTACCAAAGCTCTTGGAGCAACAAACGGGGCAACTCTAGAAAAGAACGGACAGATTCTGCGACTACCATATGCAAAAAGCATTCTTGGACCGAGATCAGGGCCATCAGGATCTTCTCAGTCAAGCAGTCTTGCGGCTGCCACAATTGAGGCAGCAGCATTTGCTCAACAGGTAGGCATGTATTGTTTCATTTTTATTATAAATATATAATGGTCTATTCTATACTAAATATGTTAGTGTGGCAATTTTGGATGTTCACTTCTTCGTTATATGTATATACACTGCCATCATGTTATATGTATATACACTTCTTCGTCATGGGGTTTGGTATTCTTATGATCACCAAACTCAGCAGTATGTCCCCTACTCTGATCAGAGTGACAATAAAAACAACTGGAAAACAAAATGTGAGATAAATTCTATACTTTTATTACTATTATATTCATGATACTTGTACATCTTCTTCATATTATCTAATTGTTTGTAAATAACCTCTTGCAATTCAATGGAAAAAAGACTTACACAGAAACCGGACTTGATGAAGTGCGAGTTGAATGGATTAATTTCGTACTAAAGAATATGAGTTGAAATCCAATGTAAGTATGATATAACTTCCGTTATTTAAATTGCTAATCAACAATTTCTTTAGTTGGTAAGGAATATACAATCACTTCAAGATTTCATTTTAGATTTGTTGATTCTATGTATATTTGGTTTTATGACTTTAAAATATCTGCTCATACATTGAAGATTTTCATTTTGGATTTATTGATTCTATGTATATGTCATATTTATATATGGTAATCCAAACATTTTATACTAATAATAATCAAAGTTGTTATTCATTTTCTATTGATGCAGTAGATGACGAGTCAGTGTGATGAGAAAATGTTCGATTTTGTCTTTTGTAAGACAAGAACAATCTCTACAAAAAATATTAAGTTTATTCATATGCTTCTAGTGGTTTCTGAATTAATTTGTGTTTTTATTTTTCAAGTCAGAAATTTCTTAGAGAAATGCAAAATATGGTCAAAGAATTCAACAATTTCATTTTTTCAAGTTTTTTTATTTTTTAATATATGTAAGCACAGTTAAAAACTTTTTATTAATTCCTTTGTATATACTTTTAAACATTTAACTTTCATTTATGAAATATATGACGTTATTCCATTCAATATATGGTTGTGATTCAAAATATAGTATATAGTGCGCATTACATTCTTCAAATACATATAACGTGTGATCTTATCTGATTATTAATCACATGTTTTATTAGATATTAATCACACTTAAAATCTGTAAAAGATGTGATCTAAATATTTTTAATCACACTTAAAAGGTGTGATCTAAATGTTATTAATCACACTTAAAATGTGTAATCTAAATATTTTTAATCACACTTAAAAGGTGTGATCTAAATGTTATTAATCACACTTAAAATGTGTGATCTAAATATTATTAATCACACTTAAAAGATGCGATCTAAATATTTTTAATCACACTTAAAAGGTGTAATCTAAATGTTATTAATCACACTTAAATGCCCTAATCTAACCATCATAAGCGGATAAATAAAAGGGAGAAAGACGTGAGGTTGGAAGACATACATCCCACTCACGCACACTTATTACAGTTGTGCCCTCACTCGGAGGGTCCAAACAAATAATACAGTCCCAATATTACAGTCCCGAATAAAAAAAATATTACAGTCCAAATATTACAAAATCCTAATTAATTAATTAACTAAGAAAGCAAATAAAACTGGCGTGCAAGCCAGGGACTGCCTTGCTTCTGATGGATGATGCATGTCCGGATTGTCTTGCGCGGAAATCCACCGGAATGCCCCAATTAGCCTCTGTTTACACCTGTTCTTGAAATGCGCGCCAAACTCCAAAAAGTTGCTGATCCTTCATTTTGCTGCAACAGAGAGCAGGAAAGGGGCATAGCAATGTATTTGCACAAATATATGCATGTCTCGATCCTCGTGCCACCAATCACGCATACCGAGGCATGATGGCCGAGGAGTCGAAATGCACAATTCAATATAGGATGAATGCACATGAAAACACAGCTAAAACCTAACTCCATCATGGATAATCCGGAGTGTCGGTGACTGGGGAATTGAGACACATTCCGTCACTCAGAGTACGAAATGTACCTCGTTTCCCGTGCCAGGGCTAACTCCTATTTCGGACATGATGCAATATGCATGATATGCGTGAAATGCAACTAAGATATAATCCTAACATATTCAATGCTACGGAATGGCATGCCTCGAAATACATGCATGCAGGCACGCAAACCGAGAAAATGGCAGAATGCAATCTAAGATACAACCTAGTACACATAATGCTATGAAAATGAGATATTTCGAAATGCGTGCACACGGGCACGCAAACCGAAAAAATGACATGTGTCTCGAAATACGTGCACGCGGGCACGCAAACCGAGGCGATGATATGTGTCTTGAAATACATGCACGCGGGCACGCAAACCGAGGCGATGATATGTGTCTCGAAATGCATGCACGCGGACACGCAAAACCGAGGCGATGATATGTGTCTCGAAATGCGTGCACACGGGCACGCAAACCGAGACGATGATATGTGATGAAATGATACGGAAACATGATAAATGGGCTTATACCAACATGAATGAGCCTCAGCCACACTCACATAGGATGCCGGCGGATGAAAATGAGGTGCCTCGAAATGCGTGCACACGGGCACGCAAACCGAGGCAATGGCAGAATGCAATGAAATGACATGGAAACATGATATGGACTTATACCAAAATGAGTGAGCCTCAGACACACTCACATTGGAAGCCGATGAATGAAAATGGGGTGCCTCGAAATGCGTGCACACGAGCACGCAAACCGAGGCGATGGCAGAATGCAATGAAATGACATGAAAATGACAAATGGGCTTATACCAACAGGAGTGAGCCTCAGCCACACTCACATAGGATGCCGATGAATGAAAATGGGGTGCCTCGAAATGCGTGCACACGAGCACGCAAATCGAGGCGATGGCGGGATGCAATGAAATGACATGAAAATGACAAATGGGCTTATACCAACATGAGTGAGCCTCAGCCACACTCACATAGGATGCCGACGGATAAAAAAATGGGGTGCCTCGAAATGCGTGCACACGGGCACGCAAACCGAGGCATGCAAAAATGCGATGTAATGACATGAAAATGATAGCAATCATTCTAATGGAATTTTAGCAGTAAAATATGGGGGAACACAGCACCGAAATGAGGCGAAATGACATGAAATGCATGGAATTGTCCCGAAATGTGAATTTAGGTACCCGAAGTGACCTATAGCTATGCCAAACATGCACAATATGGACATGGAATGAAAAGACAGAAGCAAGGCAGCCCCAAGATAAGCACTTTTCCAGTTTATAGCATGGCCAAACAGTGGACAAAAACAGGGCAAAACAAGCATGCAAAAATGGGGAATAAACATGAGATTAAGAAGCAACTCATAGCTACTGTCCTCGAACAGGTTCGGGCCCTTCTACAATATTGAAGAGGGGCCAAAAATATGCACATTTACAGAACTGTAAAATCCTCAAAAACAAACATAGATAAGGCTAAGCTTTTATGCAAGAAAACGGACCAAAAGGTGGCCAAAGAGGCAAGTGGTATATACAATGCCCAAACTGAAAAATTCCCTTCTACAACATTGAAGAGGGACCAAAAATAAGCATATTTCCAGAACTGTAAAATGGCCAAAACAGTATAAAAACATGCTAGAAATGCAAAATAAAATAAGGCTCAAAAGAGGCTATAACATGAGGTATGCAAAATATTCCACAAATGGCCAAAGACCCTTAATGAAACATGTTAAAAAGGTCAAAATAAGACTATCTCTAGGCCTGAAAATCGTCCAAAAATGGAAGCATAATGGGCTGCCAAAGCATGCAAGAAAACGGTATTTAAGGAGGACATTGAAGCAAGTGCAACATGGAGGGCTCAAACAGGGTTGAGCCCTTAATGAGACATGAAAATGAGCTCAAAATAATGATCTTTCCAGTTTTGGTCGGAGCTCAAATGTACAAGAAACAAAGGCTAAGAAATGTTGCAAAAATGAGCTCAAAAGAGGGAAAGTGGACTTACCCTTGAAGATCAATTCTTTTGTTGCTTCTTGGGCCAACTTTGTTGCCTCTTAGCTTCTGGAATTCCTCTCCTTGCTCTTGGAATGGAGTGGTGGTGGTAGAGCTTGGTGTTGTAGTGTAAATGGTGGTGTAGGACTTGAAGCTTTTTAAGAAAATGAGTGAGATGGAGGAGGATTTGTCTCTTGAGGCTTGAAGAACCAATTTTCTAACCTCCTAAAGGGGAGGAGAGGTTCTCTTTATATAGAGAAACCAAAGGGGCAAAGCTTCTCTTGGAAGCTTTGACCAAAAGGGCCAAGCTTCTTGGAGAAGCTAGGCAAAAAGGGTCAAGAGGTTCAAACTTCTTGGAGAAGCTAGCCAAAAGGGTCAAAAGGTTCAAGCTTCTTGGAGAAGCTAAACAAAAAGGTTCAAAAGGGTCAAGCTTCTTGGAGAAGTTTTAAAAAAAGGGTCAAAAGGTTCAAGCTTCTTGGAGAAGCTAAACAAAAAGGTCAAGCTTCTTGTGGTGGTGGTAGAGCTTGGTGGTGTAGAAGGAATGATGGTTAGGGACTTAGGGTTTTTCAAGGAATTGAGAAGGATGGAGATGGAGTTCTATGTGGGAGCTTGAAGAAGAGTTTTTCTAACCTCTCTAATGCATGTTGGCAGCTGGTTTTATGGACCAAAAGGAGGGTGTAAAGGTGGGGCATAAAGGAGAGCAAAATTCCCCCAAAAGGGTCCCCCCGGATGTAGATATTTTTGGGAGAAAACAAAGGCACAGCTGGAATGCACTCAACCTGAAGAAGCAGGCCGGCCTATCACTTTTGCTCCAGGTGGCCGGCCGGCCACTTAACATAGCCGGCCGGCTAGGTCAAAGAAAAAACCGGCCGGCCGGCCAGAAAAAATGGCCGGTCACCCCCTAGGATGAAGCCCCAGAAGTTAGCTTTCCAATGGCGCAAACCTTGCATTAAAATTCCTCCTGTAGAAAAAGTTATGCCCTTTTCCGTGAAGCCGCGCAGATTCAG